AAACTAATACAATAACTACTAGGTAACAATAAATAATGAATAAATAAATAATAATAAATAATAAAATATGATAAGAAAGACTTAAAAAAAAATCAATAATAAATACTTAAAAAAAAAACTTCTAACACTATAATTTGGTGAAATAAATAAAGCATCCGTCAAAAAGTTCTTAATTATGATATAAATAAAATTTTTAAACAGATCCAAATATTAAGAATATTATTCGTCTGTGCATTAGGAAATTTTATTTGGCGTAATATTATGACACTACGTATTTTACGGTATTTATACTAGGCCGTTTTGACTTTAAATATGAATACCTCGACGGATATCGGTGCCACATGGATGAAACACATATTATATTCTAGCCCGGAATCGGTCATAAGAACACCTCAATGAAAATCCCACCCTGTCTCACAAATCGTGATCGAAATCAAAAAAAAAAAGGAATTTTTTGGCGTAAAAATTACGTCATTTACGTCGTTTTGAATTCGATCACGATTTGTGAGACGGAGGGATTTTTCTATCAAACTGATCGAAATCCCTGGTTATGGGCTACGAGGTGATTTGAGTTTCATCCCTATAGAACCGATAGAATTTCTAAAGATGGTTTGATCAACTAATTATTATAAACTTATTGCTCTAACAATGTGAATTAATAAAAAGATCACAAGTAGAAATTCATTAGGAATAATTATTTTTTTGAATGCGCTCTAATTAATTTATAATTTGAGGAAGACTAAATTTAATTTTTTTGACATGCCGCCATCAAGTTATTTCTTTAAATACAATTAATTAGGAATAATTCTAATTTTTTTTGAATGTACTCTAATTAATGCATTATTTGAATTAATTTTATTAATATTTATTCCAAATCTAGATTTTTAAATATTCTTAATACATGTATCGTCAAGAATTCAATTTATTAAAGACTTTATTTTAGTACATATAAAGTAAAAAAATGAAATTTGAAATATTAATTTTAAAAAATCTTAAATACTTCATAATCTACAATCGAAAATTTTTCACTAGTTGTTCTAATGGGATTTTCATAATCAGAAGAATCAGAATTACACCAACATTTTTTATCTTTAGTAAGATTAGAAACATTTGATTGCAATGAAAATTCACAACTATAACCAAAACATGGACCAAGTGTCTTTTGTTTTTCGGAGCAATAATAAAATAGAGCATGACTTTTATTTTTAACTCTGCTGCGAATTGAATTTTTG